TGGGATTCTTAGAAGGTCTTTTGTTTATTTGAGAGTCTACTGGGCATCAGCTTAGATCTTCCTGAGGTCCTCATGAAGACTTGCAGTCACACGCTTGGCTTCATACCTAGTCTGAAATTATTTTTTTTTATTTTAACACCCTGGATTTTATATTCACCTTAAGGCCATGTTTGTTTTTTGAGGATTTTCTGCCATGAGAGAAATCTTTGTTTTGCTTTTCCTAAAATTTTCTTTAAAACGGAATAGTTAGTTCCTTTTTTTGGCTCATCTACAAGTTTCTTATCATACACGGGCTCAAAGAACTCAGAATGTCAACTTACTTTGCTATTATGCTTGAAAATCTCCTTAACCAAATCCACTGGCTCATTAGATTTATTTTTATGGATGATATTACAAAAAGTAATCACATTGTAAGAAACATTGCCAAACTTTCTGCTGCTACATAATAAGGGTCATCTTTTCTTTTTTTTTCTTTCCTGTCCTTTTTGTCCGCCAAGCCTTTATCAATATTTTCTCAAAGATGCTGCCTCTCTGTTGATCAGTGTAACCACAAGCCTGTCCGGGTTCCAGGAGAAAGGAGTGGTGATGTCTATACAGGGGTGTGGCATGAGTCACATCATAGAAGAGCAAGTAGGATGGGTGATATTTCTGAAGGCACCTTTGGAAAGTATACATATGATCTGCCACATAATTTATAAAATTGTCAGTCTGTGGGAAAGTGGAGTTTACCAGAAATTGATTAGAGTCCATAAGAATACACTGTGATAGAATAAGACCAGTGCAGGCTATTTCCAATTGGGAGTAAGATGCATGATTGGGCTTTTCCTTCCCATGTTTCCTAAGAATGCTCTTGCTATCTGTTACCTGGTAGCATTGTCATGGTGAGGACAGAGGAAGCATACTGAAAAGAAATGAGCGAACTAGAAGGCATCCTGCAGGCCAGAGTTACTGAGATAACAGATTTTGCAAGTGAAGGGGAAATTGAAATAATGGATTCTCTAGTGTCTTAAATAATGCAAATTTGAGGACTTGGGGTTTGTTATTGTGTGAAAATAGAACATGCCAATTATTGACAAGCTCTGCTTGGTTTTAAACTCAGGAACCTTTCATTATTTCCAGTGATCCTGGTGAAAACTGAGAGAAGGCTTAGGGACCATCCCACAATAGGGGTCAATTGAGTTGCAGTGAAAGCCCAGACCTGGAGACCTGTCCCTGACTCAGTCACTGATGTGTCATTTATTAAAAGTACCCCCATCTCTTCCTAGGAGAAGAGATGGTTCCTAATAGAAGGTGACTGCACGTCAAGGAAGAGTGAGAGAGGTCAGTAATGGAAGGAGAGGCCGTCCACCAAGGATAAGAACCATCACTGAGCACACATGTAGCTGTGAGTTTACTGGGAGCAAAGATGGGGGGAAACTGGGATGGGACTGTTTACTGAAACCGAGTATTCCTTTATCAGGAAGGACAATCTCGTTCCCTAGCATTTCATTCTTGGAGGAATTCAAGAAATAATCATGAAGAACATCTTCAAAAGTAACCTTGTAAAAGGCCAAATATCATTTTGGATATTATATCCTTATTTAAAAATAAGTTCACAATGTTAAATCCTATTTCTGTGAAGATAATTCTGTGGAGAGCCAGTGTGATGCTATTTACCCTTAGTCAACCTGCTTTTCTGCCTCCCCTCTAGAAAGGCCGATGTACTCAGAACCGATAGAGATGAAGTTTAGCTCCAGAGACAGTGTTCCTCAGAGAACAGAGAAAGGAGAAAAAGCACTCTTCGATTCTGTCTTCAGTGGAAGTGAGAAGAAACAATTTATGAGCCAACAGCATCTCCCTAACTTAGGAAGCAAGCTTGATGGCCCCACAGGTGATCTGTAGCTTGGAGCTTCTTGCAGTTTTTGTAGGAAAAGAGGAAAAAGCCATGGGAGGATTTGTTGTGTGAGACAGAGTCAAAGGAAGTGTACTTCTGGCAGAACTTCATCAGTCAAAAGCGCCTGTGGGTAGAGGCCGGATGAAAGCTTGGGAAGAAGCAGGGCTCAGCAACACAGGGATGTGCCAGGTGCTCCTGGATTTCTGTCCAGCTCTTAGATCCTTATCCAGGTGGAGAGCAAGTATCAGATATGCTGTGTCTCCTGCACCAAGGTCAAGTGATTGCCGATGGCTAGCTTGGATCACACTGAGAAGCATTCTGAGGCCCCATGTAGGCCCCTTAGAAAAGAATGTCGTTGAATGCCAGTGTCTACCATGGATGTAGGGTCAGTGTCATTAATATCATTCATTCCTGTAATTAATATGTTTAATTAATAAGCATTTATATGTTGACATGTATCTCATTCATATAATTAATATTCTTTTTAAAAAAGATTTATTTATTTGAAAGCAGAGTTACAGAGATACAGAGGAAGAGAGAGAGAGAAAGTTCTTCCACCCGTTGGTTCATCCCCCAGAAGGCTGCAATGGCCAGGGCTGCACCAATCCGAAGCCAGGAGCCAGGAGCTTCCTCCAGGTCTCCCACGCAGGTGTATGAGCCCAAGGACTTGGGCCATCTTCCACTGCTTTCCCAGGCCACAGCAGAGAGCTGGATGGGAAGAGGAGCAGCCAGGACTTGAACCAGTGTCCCATGGGATGCCGGCACTGCAGGCAGCAGCTTTACCCACTATGCCACGGTGCTGGCCCTTATAATTAATATTCTTTTCCAACCCTGATGTTGGGGTGTTATTAATGATTGCACATGGTTTTCTAGCTAATAATGAAAAACCTAGGAGGCAGCTGACATTTCCAGAAAGGAGTAGCAGAAAAGTGAGAGCTGTGACTAGTTCTAGAATCCCTTTGCTTCCACTTTGGCCTTTAGAGCCAGAGGGAAGAAATTGGCTAGTCTGGGGTTGTGCTATTAATTTGCCTACTGACTGTGGTCCTAGTGTGTTATCCCATAGGAACCACTTGTTTACTCCAACATACATGTTTGAGGGTAAGACTTAAGATATGGGGTTAAATCTTGGGGAACATGGGGGCAGGGAATGACAAATGCAGACATTCTTAGATCTTGTGACCAGACACATAAGGTAAGTGCATGAAGCCAAGCAAGCACGAGACCGTGAGACTTGGTGGGCATTGCGGCAACCTGGAAAGTGCAGTTCTAGCCTATTGCAATTCAAAACTAGACTGTGTGTGTGTGTGTGTGTGTGTGAGTGGTTGAGAGAGAGAGAGAGAGAGAGATGGGGCAGATCTTGCACACACGTCTATGGCCCCCTATAGCCAGCTGGCAGTCAACCTACAGCATCTGAATGGAGGAATGAGTAGATGGGAATGTGTTTGCTCACATTTCGCAGTGAGGTTGCGGTCCCTGGTCGACACCAAGGCTTGCTGGAGTTGATGAAGAGGAGCTTCACGCTCTTCCTTAACCACCAAATGAAGGCAAAGATGCTGTTTAGCTGTGAGCATGAAGGAGGCCAACCCGCCATCTGCCCTGGTGAAGGTCAGCCTGGTAATGCACCATGTGAGAAGGTTTCAAGATGTTCAGAAGCTGAGCCAGGACTGCTCCGAGGAAGCTACTCTGTATGTGTTCTGAAGCTTGACTAGGTTTTTAATGGAAACCCAAGGAGTTCTACCCATCTGCTACGAGGATGAGAGGACATTGACTTGAGAGCCGCAGAATTCCTGCTTTTACTTTAGCGCTCCGGCTGAGCATACTTAATTTTGTCCAGGACCTGGTCTTCCAGGGCTCACAAGGATGTGCGGCTATAGAAGCACTCGGCAGATAATGAAATGAATTGTGCTGCTGAATGGAGATATTCAAATCGTATCCATCTGGATGCTGGAGGGCCTCTGCCGCATGTGAGTATTTGAATTGAGCACAATCGATATGAGCTGTTCTTTCTGAGAGTAATTGGCCACCTGGTTTATGGCCATCCCCCTAATGTCGGTGATACTGTGTCATCAGTGTATTAAAAGCTAGTTGTCTCCCAGCCTGGCAGCCAGCATGCAGAGTTCCTAAGAGCTGAAGTACACTTAGTAGGTGCTGGTTACAACACAGGGAAGCCAGGAGCCAGCCCTGCTCTGGGTCACCCAAGGGTGCAGTTTGCTCCATGACAGCCTGCTTCCTACCCAGAGCCACTTAACTTAGCAGGGTGGCCTTTATAGAGAAGTGACACCCATCTCATTTTCCTATGCCAGCCGGGAAGGCAGAGTGTCAGCAGCGAGGGAAAAATACCTATTAAATGTATAGAAAGTGCCAGACAGACTCGTGGCGCCAACTGTATTTGTTAAAGCCGACTGCATTATGTTAAAGGGTTGAAGTTCAGAATTGTATCAGATCAAAGTTTGTTTAATTCTCAATTAGGAATTGTTGTTATGCAGAGTCCGTAGCTTGGGGATGTTCATGAGCTGTACTATTGATTGAAATGATGCCTTCATTGGGTGTTGATAGAGTGATCTTTTGATTCCCTCTCTATTATGCTAATGATGAGGGGTACAGCCCCTCTCAAAGGCGCCTGTTATGCCCAGGATGGATGTCTCAGACCTGTCCGCTTCTTCCAAGCGGCTGGGGGACAAGTGTGCCTGGAGCTCTTCAAGGGCCTCATTAGCATTTTGTAGCTCAACTCCCGAGGGTGATAAATTTAAAGAACACGGAGCACAATTAGGCAGATTGGTAAAAGGTTACAAATGGTGGGCGGGTCCTGAGAGTGTCTGCTTCTACATGCCAAGGGCATCTAAGTCAGTCCTGACAACAGCTGGAGCCCAAAGGCCAGCGCCTCTCTGTGCGCTGAATTTACATAAGCTTTGAAGATATTTTTAGCTTCCCACACTCCTCTTAATATTCTCCTGTTTCTCTGTCTCACAAAGAGAGTAGGCTGCTAGCTTAAGCTTCTGAGCTTTCGGTCTTCAAAAGTCCTGATGTTGTTTTCTTTTTCAGATCTTCTGGGGATAAGTAGAAGGAGAAATTGATGAAGCAGCCACAATAAGCCTGCAGTATTTAAAGCCCTTATATGTGGGCACCGGGGATGGTGGGTCCACCCCTTTGTGGGTGCATCTGTTCAATTAGGATTGCTCATTTCAAATCGAGAATCGCTGAAATGATGTACATTCAAGAAACTGGCATCACACTCCACTTAAGAGGCTTAACAGGTGCACTGTTTACTCCTCTTCCTTCCCCCCACCTCTTGTGTGAAAATGTTCTATTTGGGAGTGTGAATCAAGGTGATAGTGACAGCCATGGGGATCTTAGGAAAATAAACAACCATTAATATTCAGCATTCACTCGCTTATTCAATAAGCATTCATTGAGCAGCACAGTGTGCTAGGGATTGAGTTAGGAGAAATCAACACGGTAAAAGAAGAAGCCTTAGTTTCTATCGGCAGTCTAGGTGTCTAAATATGTGAGCAGTGGTGGTGGTGGTGGTGGTGGTGGTAGTGGTGTTGGTGGTGGTGGTGTGTGTGTGTTATGTGTATGTGTGTGTTAGGAAGTGTAGGGGCTTGTGCACCTGCTAACTCATTATGGTAACAAATCATGGTGTTTGCTTTTATCTTCCATTCACACAGATCAAAAGGAAGCCAGGGTCTCCCGGGGCTGAGCCAGCACTGCTCTGCCATAGGAGGCTGGGATTTGGTCCTGTTCCTGCCTCAGAGCAGCTGTGTGGCCTGGACAAGTCACCACTCCTCTGGAGCCCTCTGACCAGTGCAGGATGCATCAGGCTGGCGGCAGGAGGTGAGGAGAGGGCTCGCTCTGCAGGAACCCACTCGCATATCCATCCGGGCATCAACAGGAGGAGGGAGGAGGTGGAGAATTCTGTGAGGCGAGAGCCTGGATGCGATGGTCTCAGGCTTCTTCCGGTTCTAGGACTCAAGAATTCAAGGGCATAAAACCGCCTGCCACTCTGCCCTGTGCTTCCCCAGCAGGGTTACTCTGCCATAGGCAATCATGGCATGTGTAAAATAACATGACAAAATAAACCTGTAGAAAAAGAGGCATTTTATTTCTCTGACAGTGAGTCACAGGCTCTTTGGGGAAGTATTTGGTAAAGCATCAAGTTGCAAAGGAGGGCTGTGGCTCAGATAGAGCCCAGCCTGCAGCTAGTGCCAGGACATGGAGGGCATCCAGTGACCTGCATTTACCATCACTGTGGAGCTGGATACGGACCCTCACCCTGCTGAGCTCCCTTCCCAAGTCCATTTGGCCTCTGCCCTGGATGCAAGTCCTTTGATGAGGAGGACAGATGTGGGCACCGACCACCACGAGATGACCCATTTCCTGCTGCATCAAACTCTTTCCCAGGCCACCCCAAGTCCTCCCTGACTCTGAGCTCATGGAGGATTCTGCCAAGGGAGCCTGGCTCATGGCAGGTTCTCCCATCCCAACTTCTGATAACAGGGTGGACAAGAAGGTCCTGAAGACGGAGATTTCCTTGGGGACAGAGCCCTCAAAGTCCTGTTCGGACCCTTGTAGCTCAGGAAATTCAGTCCAGGCATCACAACCCTGCAGGGTACCCAGCAGAGAGGGCCAGTGGCAGGTACAGCTCTGTATCCATATGAAATCTGCAAGCAAGGGGAGCCTGGGAAGATAACCCCACTGTCACTCCCAAAGGGACACTGGAAATCAGTTCCTAGCAGAGAGCATTCCATCTCCACTGCCAATCCCATATTGCACACCTTTCTTCAGGTCCAAATTGGACAAGGGACCGGCAAGAATTGCAGGGGCCACTGAAGCTGGGTGGATGACCAAGACAACGCTTGCCTCCTGGCCCCCAGCACAGCTACCACAGTCTGTGACCCAAGAGAGGGCAAATACTACAGACAGACACACGTGGAGATCCATGTGCACCCGGCAGACGTGCAGATGCACACCACACACTCAGGACACGTCAGACACACACTCCCTGTGATGGACACCGGGTGCTGCACTGAGCAGTCCATTAGTAAGAAGGACTTGCTGCCCCAGCTGCTGGTGGTGCTGCCAGCAGGCCAGCCTCCGCCAAAGGAAAGCCTGCCCTGCCCAGGTCCCACTTCCCCCAGGGCCGGAACGCATCCAGTGACCGATGAGGACCGAGGCAGACAAAGCAAGCCTGTCCTCATTGTGCCCACTGGGGACAACAAGGGCCCTCTCCGTTTGAGAGCTCCTCGTGGAGTTGGCTGAGGTCTTCCTAGGGACTGCATTTCAGCACTGGTTCTCCTGTGCTCAGTCCCGTTTTCGCTGCTTCCCTACCACAGGTCCTCCCTGGTAAGATGCTAAACTCAGTCTGAGTGGCTGCTTCTCAGGGAATCCAGTGTGCAACGCGGTATAAACACTTTCTCCTAAACCAGGTGTCTCTCTCTCTCTGTCACACACACACACACACACGCACACCCACACACACACACTTTCCTTAAGGAAATCAAAGAAGGAGAGAGGAGAGGTTGCCCTGTGTTTACAGCTATGTGATACAGGCACTGTCACATAACATGCATTTCTTATGCCTTTTATTTCAAAAGTTCACTGATTTTCTAAATGAAGGAGAACATTTTATTTATTTATTTATTTTTAAGATTTATTTATTTATTTGAAAGTCAGAGAGAGAGAGATGTCTTCCATCCACTGGTTCACTCCCCAGATGTCCACAACGGCCGGAGCTGTGCCGATCCAAAGCCAGGAGCCAGGAGCTTCTTCTGGGTCTCCCACACAGGCGCAGGGGTCCAAGGACTTGGGCCATCTTCCACTGCTTTCCCAGGCCATAGCAGAGAGCTGGATCGGAAGTGGAGCAGCTGGGACCCGAACTGGCACCCATATGGGATGCCGGCGCTGCAGGCGGTAGCTTCACCCGCTATGCCACAGCACCAGCCCCAGAACATTTTATTATTATAATGTGAGAGAAAAGATAACAATTATCTGTAAAACTATTAATAAAACCAGTTCTTCAAAAAGAACTCTGGATGCACAGACCCTACCTCCTAAGAACTTGTAGTCTTGCTGTGGGCCTGTGCTGTTCTTACCAAATGCTCCAACATGAATATTCTATGAATATTCATGCCTCCCTTGAAGGGTAGATGCTTTCAGGCCTGGCTGCAGCACAGCTGCCCCGTCCTGACCCTCCTGCCTTCCCACGGGGACAGCCTCGCTGGAGGCTGGCAGAGTAGGGTTTCCCAATTTGTCACCACCAAAGCATGCTGCATTCTTCCCTGACCTCTGCCAAATTAAACCTTGTGGTTTAAAAAAGCCAGTCTCTTCACTGCATTTTTTAAAAAAAGATTTATGTATTTGAAAAGCAAAGTTACAGAGAGGCAGAGGCAGTGACAGAGAGATCCTCCATCCACTGGTTCACTCCCCAAATGGTTGCAGCTGCCGGAACTGGGCCAATCCGAAGCCAGGAGCCAGAAGCTTCTTCTGGGTCTCCCACACGAGTGCAGGGGCCCAAGCACTTGGGCCATCATCTACTGCTTTTCCAGGCCATAGCAGAGAAATGGATTGGAAGTAGAACAGGCGGGCCTCGAACTGGTACCCATATGGGATGCTGGCGCTGCAGGTTGCAGCTTTACCCGCTATACCACAGCACCAGCCCTTGCATTTATTTAAAATTGTTCTTACGAGGCAGGCATTTGGCACATCATTGAAGACTACTTGGTACTCACTTCCCATAGGAGGGCGTGGTTTGAATCATAGATCCTCTGCTCCCAGTCCAGCTTCCTGCCACTGCACACCCTGGGAAGCAGCAGGTGAAAACTCAAGTATTTGAACACCTGCTACCCACAGGAAGACCTGGATGGAGTTCTGAGGTTCTGGCATCTACCTGACCCAGCTCTAGCTGCCGTAGGCATTTGAGGGGTGAAACAGTGGATGGAAGGTCTCTCTATATCCATCAAATATAACAAAAATAAATAAATAAATAAATAAATAAATAAAATTGTCATTCATGAAAACCATAAGCAACAGCCAATCAGGGCTTTGAATCAGCTCTATAGAATTTTATCCCTCCAGGTAGATGTAATTCCAACCGCAAAGAGATCAACTGACCTGTTGAAAATAGGGAGGAGGGCTTAGGAAACTGTGCCCCTGCCTTTGAATACCAGCCGGGGACCTCGGGAAAGCATCGGTTCCACATTGACATCTCCCTTGCTTCTGGGCCAGATCATATCTGTCACACAAACATGGGTGGTCCCTCCAGCAAGAGCAAGGCTGGAGAATCCTTCCTTTTGTCCAGTTGAGCTTTCTGCCCTCAAATTTCAGTCTGGCTCTTTGCTTTGACCTCATGGGAGGCCAGTGGTCTGCCAGCATAGCCTCACTGTGTCATGGCCCAAGTGGAGGGACAAGGGTCTCGAAGTCCCACAGAGGTGCAGCCGATTCCTGAGCTGCTCCTAACTCTGTGTCTGAATCCCATTGGGCCTCCGTGTCCTCCTCCTCAAAATGGGATAACAATAACTTCCTTCCTGGGCTGCTGGAGGGACTTGGGTAAGCTAAGCATGGAGGGACACGATGCTGGGTCCTCGGGCCTTCACTTCTTGGCCTTGTCTTCCAGTTCTCTCATTCTTCACTAGCTGCTCTTCATTTTTCCCCAAGAGCCCTTTTCCGCCACTATATGCCCAGGGCCACACAGTAGCAGGCACACGGCAACTGCCCAGTGGTTAGACACTGAATGGCTGAATGGTCGGAGAAGCTACACAACCAAGCCCAGTGGGGTGGTGCAGAGAAAGTGCCTGTAGTGGATGGGAAGTTAGAATAAGTCACTGTGATGTATTCTGCAGACTGATGCGAAGATTCCAAGAACTGATGGGCACTTTTTCCAAAAGAGGAGGAAGACATCCCTGTAATCGTCCACACCAACTTGCCTCTGTCCCTCCCCTGCCCGTCTCGACTCCTTCTTTCTCCTGACATGTGTCTTGAGAGTCCCAGGTCCTGTTGACTGCACTCCCACATACCTCGCAGCTCCGTAGCAATCCTTCTGTTCCCACCTCCCTGATTTGGCTTCTTCCCCACAGCCCCCTGGGGGATCTGAGTCTTCCACCCTGCCACACTACAGCAGCACCTTCTCTCTAATGGGCAGCACTGCTCATCCCTCTCCTAGTCAAGCCCTCTCATCCCCTAACATGGAATACACAGGCCTTCTAGACCTCGCCATGTCCACTTCCACTGCTCCTCTTGCACCTGTGGGCTCAGTTCCCCACACACCTCTGCTCTTCTACATCTCTCACGTATCCTCCTTGTGCCCAGCAGACCCCTCACATCTTGCTTGCACACCCAGTTACTCTTGCACTCCTCCCAGAGTCCTGGCAGCTTGGTTTCCTCCAGGCCTGAAGTCTGACCTAGGGACTGCTCTCCTCCTCTGCTTTCCCAACTCTCACGGCCTCCTCCACTGCTGGTTTGTCACAGCTGATTCTGCTGTGCATGTCCTCTGCAGGGAAGGCATCTAATTTCTCTGTGTGTCCTAGCACCTAGCACCTGGCACATGGTAGAGTCTCAGCAAACATGGAGCAAATGACTGATTGATTGAATGAATAATTGTATGGATGCTTCTCCCCTGTGACACCTCCCTTCCCACTTTGAAATTCCTCCATGGAGGACAGATCCTCATCCATCAGACAGGTTTCGGCTATAAACTACAAGAGGGCAGGAGAAGGGCATGGGAGAACCGCTCCGATCCCCTGCATTTATCTTCAGCTATAGGAAAGCACGAATGCTTAGGAGACTCTCATTTCTCTTGACTTCTTTGGTTCTCTGACCTCTGAATAGCGAGAGACCCCAGGGTCTACGTCTATCACTGGTCTGTGTCTGTGGGTTGGGGTTGTGGAGAGGGGGCTAGCAGATGACTCCCTAGTGGAATTCCCACATTCTTCTTCCTTTCTCTCCCACCCACCTGGCCTCTCCTTGCTGGACCATTTGCTGAGTACTGAGCCTCCAGCTTGCACAAGATTCTGTCATCTGAGTCACTCCAAGTTCTGCCTGGTGCCTGGAGATCATTTCCAACGTTCAGTGACCTCAATTTGCAGCGCGCCCAGCAGG